ATCTTGGGTGGCCTTGCATGGTATAGCTCATGGCTTCACTGAGTTACGCAAGCCCCCTAGCCACGACAAGGCAGTGATCCATGAAGGGGATTTCCCAGATAACTAGTAAAAATGTGTAACTGGGTATTATTGGCATATTGATGATAGATGAAATACCCCAGCAGCTTCATATATATTAAATAAGGTGGATGGGAGAGAAGGTCAAGCCCTGAGGCATCTCATACTGGAATACCCAAGGGCTCAATCCCTCTTCCTCCATATACAATGACTAGAACCACCCATTTAGGAAAGAACTGAGCCACCAAAGAAATGTGCTCCCAATTTCCAAACCTTATAGTCAACCTAGAAGAATACAATGGTCAGTGGTATTGAAAGCCACCAAAAGATTTAGTAGGGCTAGTAGGTTTGTGCTCCCCCCATCAAAAGCCTGCCATAGGTCATCAGTGAGAGCAAACTGCAGTTTTTATCTTATCCCTGGGCCTGAACCCTGACTGAAAATGTTCCAGATTATCTATCTTCCAGTCTTCTTTGTAGTCAATGGCTGTCAGCCCTTCAAGGTAGATCAAATTAGAAATCTGATGTCATGTAGGTCAGTACTACTTTTATTGTAAAGCTATAGAAACAGAATCTTGCAAATCTGAATGCACTTCCCCCCTCCAGACACTTGTGGGAAGCAAATATTAGGGTATCCTTGTTTCCCATTCCTTCTACAATTTGCCCTCTCTTTAGTCAATCTCAGAAGCAGGTATTATCAGAAAACATTATTTTATTTTATTTTATTTTATTTTATTATTTTATTTTATTTTATTTTAATTCACACAGTTTGCAGGAAACTTCCAGGTCTGACTTTCCCAGTTTTTATAACTACCATCCATCTTCTGTTAACATTCCACAAGTAAAATGAGTAGTTCACAACTTTGAACTATATTCTACTTGACAGCACATAGAAACTTTGTTGAAAAAACTGTCATAAAATTATCTGGGGGAAATTTTGAGATGGAAATAGCATCAGGCATGCTAGAATGTGCCCTATGTAATCCATGAATGAGCGAGTCAATATACAGATAAGATATAATGTCTGTGTAAATCCACTCTTAGATGCTCTCTATACTTTAATTGCAGCTAGCAACCTGATGTAACATCTTAGTGTGCATGTGTATGCAATGATGGCTTATGCCTCTGCATTAACAGCAGAGACAGATAGCATAATTTGTTTTCAAACACTTTCTGTCTTAGAAGGTAAAATGTTGGTTGTAATAAACACACTTTTGTTCCTCCATTGCAGGAGGAAAGCCATGTAAGTCTGTGGTGGCAAACAAATCAGGAATCTGGTAGCACTTTTTTGACTAACACACTTTATTGAAAGGCATAGACTTTCATGAGCTGAGCTACAGCTCATGAAAGCTTATGCCTTTTAATAAAACGTGTTAGAAAAGGTGCTACCAGGTTCCTGATTCTGTACTTTCTCTAAACGGTGTCCAGTTTTATCATGTGTATATGTGACAAATCTGTGGAACAGGCCTGAGGGTCTTTACTATTGTACAGCACTCTGCTATTCTAAATTTATGATAAGTGATGATAAAATTGTGATGAGCCTCTGTTGTTTTTTATAGGTTGGCTATATTTTGTATTCTTGGCATTTGTGATTGACATTCTGGACAATGAGTAATGTTTCCCCTCCCAAATGGGAAATAATCTATCATTGCTAATTATTTAATGTCTTTGGGTTTAAAATTGTGCATTGATTTGTACGGGAGCTGGGCAAAACTAATAAAACACCGAGAAACATCATCTTCTATCTAGAAATTGAAAACTGTTATTTGGCAACCCTAGGAAGATTGAAACACAGATAGTCTTGATAACTAAACTCCTGGACGTCTACATATCTTTTGCAGAGAGAGGGGATTTTCTGGGACTAGAGTTGACCACGAATCAGGTGAAAGTCTTGCTGTTACAACTGACAGATAATGTTGATGAACCAATGGTGGTAAAAAAAAAGGATTTCTCAATTCCGGAGAAGATTATGAATGGCAGTGGAGAGCAGGTACAGTTCTAATGGATCTGAATTTGTCAGCTTGTCTAATCCATAAATCCCATTTCATCTTGTTTAATCCATAATTACTTGTTATTATGATCTCATTGCTCTTCTGCTGTCTTCATTACGTTCCTCTTTTCTTTTTTGCTATATTTAAAAATTCCTTTCTTGATTTTCTAACTTTTTTTCCACTTGTTCCCACTTTTCTTAGCTACTCTCACTCTGCTCCTCTTCACTTTCTTGGAACTTCTGCTATGCTTTACTTTTGGAGTGCTTCAGGAAGGAGAAGGGAACTCAGAGGAACTGGAAGGTGAATAGTGGAGAGTTCCTACAAGTGAGAATCACCTGTTCTCACAGTGCAAGAGGACATGCTGCAAAATATGCTACCCTGCTTCTTCTGGCACAGCAGCTGAAGTTATTTGGTTCAGTTGAGAAGATTTCTGCAAAAGCCCAAGGGATCAGAGGAACCTAAGAGAAAACACTAATCTTTTATCAACACAACCCTTGCATATGGAAAGGGGCTGTGCACTTTTATTTTTAGGATACTGTGCATCCTACTAGGTCTTTAGCCCCTTGAAAAGTGTCATTTGGGTACACTTTGATTGTAATAATACACACACACACACACATTACACACACACATATAATATACTGTAGATATGTAATCCTTATATTCCCAGAGATCGTCAAAGAGATTCATATGAGTCTCTTTTATCTCCTGAATGTTTTTCTGTGCTCTTTCTTAGTGGCTTTCCCTCCACACATTCCTTCCTTTTTCCTGTATAATTTCTTCACACTTACTCAAGTTCTCCTACATATTAGAGTTAACAGCAGTAATAGGTTACAAAACTGGGCAGTGAAAAGCTTAATTCCTTCCTTCTTGATTTAACTTCCTACCAACCTGACATAGACGTGTCTTTTCGTCTTGCAAGGCATATATGCACATTCATATGCACACACATTACATAGATTAAAAAAATGAATTAAATATCCCCAATATATCTTTTTTTTTAAATCTGATTCAGTTCCCTGAGACTATTTTCTCAGATTTCCTAAAATCTCATCTAGTTTGGCAACAAGTTTATTTCTCTAGAATTTTAGCATGCTTACCTTTTTAGAGAAATTAGAACCAGAGAAATAAGCAGAGATAAGGGTAATGTAGTAATACAATTTCAATAGGGAGACAGGGGACAGCCCACTCAGTCATGAAACTCAGAAGTTGTTGTGAGAATAAAACGGAGTAGAGACATGTATAACTTGAATGATACACAGATGATGAACTAATAAATTGAAGATGATGATTCAAGGCATTTTTTTTTAAGTCATGTTACCTGATTCTGTGAGGTTTCAGATCTGGAAATTTAAATTGACCTTAAATTCTGAAGTGTACCATTTTGGAGGATGGGGACATAGTCTGTCTACTTAAAATGTTTTGTTTATTCTTTCAGGTTTTTGAATTCATGGCTCAATGCCTGTGCACATTTTTGGGTGGATTTAACTTGAACAAGAAATATTACCCACTGGGTTTCTCCTTTCCTTTTCCTTGTGATCATGTTACACTGAACCAGGTGAATAATTTGTTGACAGTACTAAACTATCTGGAAGACTAGAAACTGTGTTTTTTAATTGGCATTTGCTGACTGGGAAGGACGAAGAAGTAGAAGTGGGGTCTGACCACAGCTGTAGCCATACAACTGCCTCGCATGCAATAGCTCTAAAGAGAAAAGATACATGTGAGGAAGTGTTCTTTATATTCTAGTTGTCTTCAACCATTTCTACATTAATGTTTTATAGTGTCATGTAGCATCACCCCATCATTGTTGTGGCGATATAAAGCCTGTCTTCATTAGTGATATATCACCACAGCAATGGTTGCATGCTCTAAAAGATGCTATAAATCACTGGAGTGGAGAAAGTCTTGCTTAAAAGTGCTGGGAACAGAGCTAGCCTAGTTTGAGGCAAAGTGAGGAAGCAACATCAGCTAACAGATAATATGACAGAAAAAAATTAGGTGTCTGAGGACAGGACAACAAACAACCCAACTGCCCCACAGCCTTTATGGTACCTTGCTATTCTTGGGTGTGGTGGGGGACACCTATTGCAAATATTGAAATAAGATTCAAATGTCATTCCAGCCAGTGCAATTGTTTTCTTAAAATCATAGAATTGATAGGGGTCTCAGAGGTCATCTAATCCAGCCGCCTCCTTTGTGCAGGGTCTGCTAAAATATTTTGGACAGATAGCTGTCCAGCCTTCAGTGAAGGCCTCTAATGAAAGGGAACCTAGCAGCTCATGAGGCAATCTATTCCATTTGTTGACAGCTCTTACCATCCAGAAATTCTTCCTAGTATCTAACCCAAATCTACTTCATTGTAATTTCAATCCACTGGTTTTGCTCCTGCTCCTCTGTATGATAACCTTTTAAATATCTGAAGATTGCTATCAAATTTCCTCTCAGTCTTCTCTTCTGCAGGCTAAACACATTCAGTTCTTTTAACTGTTCCTCATGGGTTTGGTTTCCAATCCTATCACCATCTTGGTTGCCTTCTTCTGAACTCACTTGGGTTTGTCAGTATTTTATTTGGACTGCAATGCCTAGAACTGGAACAATATTCCAACTGGAATTGACAAAGCAGAATAAGTTTGGGCAATTATTTCCTGTGATGTGGATTCTATGCTCCTATTAATTCAGCCAAAAATAGCATTTATCTTTTTAGCAACTTCATTACACTTTTGATTCATTTTCTTATAATTTATTAGAACATCCAGAGCTTTTTTACATGTATTAACAAACTAGTTCTCCCCTATCCTATGCTTTCAGCTTTCATGTTTTTCCTCCCTAGATGCAGGACTTACACTTCTCCCTATTAAACTTCAGGGAGTTCAGCTTCATTTGTTCAGCCCACTGTTAAAGCCTGTCTAGACCTTTTTGAATCTTCCCTTTCTCTCCTATAATATTAGCCATTGTTCCTAGTTTTCTGGCTTCTGCAAGTTTGATAATCATCCCCTCAACATTTACACTTTATTACGGTCATTAATAAAAATGTTGAGTAGAACAGGGTTCAGGACAGAGCCTTGGGGCACTCCACTTAGTACTACTCTCCAAGCTGATCTGGAGCCATTTATAAGTTCTGTTTGGATGTAGTAACAGACAGTTATGAATCCTTCTAATAGTTGTGTCATTTAGCCCACATTTTACCATTTTATTAGTGAGAATATCATGAAACACTTTGTCAGATGCTTTGCTGGGTTCAAGATATGCTGCATCTATGGCATTCCCCATATCTGTTAAAACAGGAATTCTGTCAAAAAAGCAGCTAAGGTTACTCTGTGTGAGGGTTCTTTGTTTTCCAAGGACTGGACACACCACAGTGTAGAAGATAACTGTACAAAATACTGTATTGTAGCACACACCTTTCCTGTTGCCCTGGGTTAACTCAAACCTCCTAGGCATTGCCTAGGCATAAGTCTTTGATGGTTAATTCTTACAATAAATTAAAGTCTTAAAGTTTGTAAGGTGACATTCAACCTTTGCCTCCCTTCAAAAGGTGTTGCACTTGTTGGGATTAAGTGCTGCCTCAGTGTGGTTGCTCCTCTTCTGGTTGCTGCCAAGCTCCAGACAGGAATCACACCACAATGGGCTGCTTACCATAGCTTGTGGTCCTGGCAGTTGACTGATAACCCTCTTGCTTGTCTGTAATTGTCGTACATTCCAGATGTTGCTTCCCTCTTCCTCATCTACCTGTTGTGTTCTTCTTTTTCTCTCCTACACATCCACACTTTTGTAGGCTATGGGCCAGGGTGAGGTTTCCTATGGATGTCGGCACGTTCCTAAAAATGCCAGCATGTGGCTCAGTTAGCCAGACATCTGGAACGTTGGCATGGATGCTTATGAGAAAACTGTGAGGGTTGGAGGATGAATGAATGAATGAATGAATGAGCCCATCTCCTGGGGCTGTAAACTTTTACTGCCCTTTGGGAGAAAGGATGAGCTGAGCCTATCCTTGGGGAAGTGCGGGGTGGGGGGAAGCATTTCTTCCTGGCTGCAACTGATTTTCCCAACTGCAGACAGCAACCCCTAGCTTCATTCCCTCACACTCTGGCATAACCTATTTGTGACAAACCCAAGGTGACTTCTTTTAATTGTTGCATTCTTATGTAAGTGCTCACAAACATGATGTTTAATAATCTGCTTGAGGATCCTGTCCTGCACAGATGTCAAGGTGGCAGGTCTGTAATTTCCCAGATCCTCCTCCTTCCTGTTATGGAAGAAAGAAGGGACAACTTATGCTCTCCTTCAGGATTCTGGGCCTTGCCAGTTCTCCAGTTCCCAGGTTAGTTAGTGGTTTTGTGATCATCTCCACTAGTTCTTTCAGTACCCTGGCTTTTCTTTTCTACTAGTGTCACAGTTATGGCCAGTTAAGATATATACTTTTCACAGAAGTTAAAACATTGTGTTTCCTTGCCATCATCCATTACCAATTCTCCCTGCAACAGGTCTATAGCCTCTTTGCCTTTCCTTTTGTTTCTGACATACCAGAAAAGTATGTTTTGCTGTTTTGAGCACTTCTTACAAATCTCAAATCATTCTGAGTTTTATTTCTTGGACAGAAATGGAATCCCTACAATTTCTGGCAACTGCCTTATAACTTTCTTTGGTTATGTGCCATTTCCTATACATAACCCTTTTTCTTTTCTGCATTTAATCATTTAAAATGTTTCCTGTTCTTCCTTCATATAAGAATTGTTTGAGGTTTCATCTGCAGGATCTCCCACTTTTTATGTTGAATCTGTTCTCTTGAATAAGCTGTAGGCTTTCAGGTTATGTTCCAGTTGTGTGTCATCTCAATGAGTTTTGATGATGCCTATGACTTCATATTTGTCTGCCTGTATTTGGATCCCCTGTTCATTTCCCATATTCTGTGTTTTGATGTAGAAACATATGAGATTGTGAGTAATAGTCTCTCTGGTTTCCTGTTCTAGTTTCCTGCCAATTGCTAAGTCTGCCATCTACTCTCATGCTTCTCTCTTTATCTCTTGTGCTGTTGGCCCCAGTCTTTGCCCATATATTTGATTCTCAGCTTTTGTTACCCTCTCTCTTTTGATGTAGATTAATACCCTCCTGATGAAACTGGTGAGGTACCCACCAAACATGCCCTCCTTGGTCTTTGTGAGATGTAGCCCTTCTCTTCTTAGAAGTCCTTCATTCTTCCTTCAGATCAGGAAGCAAAACATCTTAGATCAGCCTTAAGTGGGAGAGTTTTGTTAGAGTTTACTGTTCTATACATTCTGTTCTGAAAAAGAGTGCTTGTAGGAAATAGCTTGGGTTTCGTAGTGGCCACTGGATATGCTGAAGAAAATCTCCCTCTCTGTTTATTCCCTTTAGTGTAAACTGATCAAATGGACAAAGGACTTCCGATGGCCAGGGGTGGAGGGGAAAAATGTGACCCAATTGCTCCAAACGACTATCAACGAGGTTTGCAAGGTTAGAATGGTAACTGGGTCAATGGCAGTGAAAACATGGGCTTCTGTAAGACAGAGCAAGAGAGCCACTTTTATTGTTCTCTTTCTTTTAACTACACCAGAATTACCAAATAGAGGTCCTTGCTGTTGTGAATGACACTGTGGGAGCTTTGATGCGCCATACTTCTGTTGTCAGGCCATGTAAAGTAGCGGTAATAATAGGTAAGCAGAAGCTGGGCACAGGTAATATTGCTGATCAACTAGAAGGATCATGCATGCCATACTTTAGGGTTTTTTTGCTCAGGTGTTGGCAATTTATGTCAGGCTGAAAACTTCTTAACTAGTATTGGACTATGTCCATAAATGTAGCAGGGGAAACCAGAAAGGTTTTGCTTTTCATCAAAACAAAAAGCACTAGCCATTGTCCACGGTAAGACAGTATCATAGATGGATTTAATATCTTAAATAGTTTATCAATTTCAAAGATGCTATCAAGGAAGTAGATAGCTTCATTTAGCTTTCACTTCATCTTGTGCTTAGTCTTGGTTGTAATTGATATTTCCTTTGCATTGTGCTTCTCCCCTGTTGTTTCTTCTCCTGGTAGATGCTGGCACTAACTGTTGCTATATGGAGGATACACAGTGCATAGCAGGCTTGCAGGAAACTAAGGGACACATGTGCATAAACACAGAATGGGGCTTTTTTGGGAATAATGGAGAATTGAATGAGGAACTAACAGAGTTTGACTTGTTGGTAGATAAAGAGACCATGGATCAAGGCAAATGCAGGTGGGTCACAGTAAAGGAAGTGAAGGCAGTTTTGCTATGAAACATTAACCTACATTGCCCTAGAGAAGAATCAGTGAATTAATCAGAGTTATGCCACCTGAGCACCCCAGTAAAAATCAGAACAGTTGCTTCAAATTCCATTCTTAAAGCCCCAAAGCTGTACAGATTGCACTGACAACAAATAATTAAACACCTGAAGTGTAATTTCAGGTGTTTTTTCATGTGATACCAAACAAATAAGTCAAAAATTAATGGGTGGGTAATATCTTTATTAGAACCAATCAAAGCAACAGAAACTCTTCATCAGGCAAAATATTGCAAAAAGAGAGATAGGGAAAAAGCAAGAAAGTAAAAAATTAGGCTGGGTATGTAATCCATGAACTCAGCGGTCAAAGCTTGAAGTCAGTGGCAAACCACTTCAATGTGCAACTTGTTCCCACTAAGCTAAAATATTGTTGTGTACATTTGCCTTGCTTTCCCCCCATCTCATCTGTACTTCCAGTTGCTTTTTTCCAGGATTTCTGATTTGCAGATCTACAAAAACCTGCCCTGGAACTAGGATCCTAGAATACAGAACTATAGTTGGTCCCAGGATTCTAAGTAAAAGTGACAATTCTGTTTCCATATACTTGCACTTGTTTGTTACTGTGAGATGAGACCTGTTGTTTTGTCTTTCTTAGCAGCAGGCATTATAAAACATAGCCAAGCTATCTTGTGAATTGTGCATAGTTTACCTGCTGACTACCCAGGATGGATGATTCACTGCTTCCACTCAAATTTCTTCTTTGTGCAATAATTTTCTTTTCTTATTGCTGCCAGGTTTGAGAAGATGACCGGTTCCAATTATGTGTGTGAGGCTGTCCGTATTATTTTGGCTAATCTGGCTGAGAAAGGTGAATTGTTCAATGGGATTCTGACTCCCTCACTATTAACCAAGGGGAAGCTGGCATTCCAAGACATTGTGGAGATCATAGAGTAAGCTAATCTTGTGATATCTGATCTTTGTCCTTATATTGAAAACAGTAGTAGAGTGAGATTTGGGGTAATTTACTAGTTTAAGCTTAGTCCTACACATGGCAATCAGAAGGAGTGAGCCTTTTAAATTTAATCTGTGATCCACATTTTAAAAATTACGTTAACTTCTTCATTTGAGTATGCTGCAGAATGCACAGATACACTGTTTATGGCATCTCAGATAGGATAACTGCTAGAATAAAATATTCTTATAGAAGAAGGTATCAAAGAAATGGGACTTTAAAGGTCATTCATAATGTACTATGAATTCTGTTTTATCAATTGGAAGAAGGGAATAGCAAAGCTGTGACAAAAAAGAGGATGGGAAAATGCAAAGCCATGTTTTTGTATCTACAGTACATTGTTTTCTCTGCATACACACATTGCTTTGTATTTCCTTGAGCCTTCTTTTTTACCTAAACTTCCATTTTATTTAATAGCATTCTGTTGCATCTCATTTCACTGCTGCACCTATCCTGGCTTGTTCTTGATTCTCTTTGCTTCCATCTTTTTTAAGACATCCCTCTGTCATCCACCTGAGAATGCTACTTTATTTGGAGGATATAACAATCTCAAATATACACACAAAAACCTCTACAGCATTATTATATGAGGTATCACATTATGTGTGAAATATTTGTGCATGTGTGTATCTTTACTAGAGTGACAAATCATGATTCAGGACAAGATTAAAAACTATTTTAGAACTGTGATATACTTGATAAACAAATCTATATGATAAGAATCAGCATTGCAAATCATCTCCTTATTGAAGAAGATACAGTAAGTGGTCCTTAATAAAAAGTAGAGAAAAGAAAAAACATTGGCTTTCACTGACATGGCTAAGCATTATGATACTCCAAAGATTATGTACATAGGTAACTTTTTTTAAAACACACAAGTCATTTGAAGTACAGTATTTTAATTGATATTAAATTTATTTGATATAATAATATTAAAAATGTATGTGGGTTCTAAGTATTTTAGCACAGATTTATAAATAGCTTAATGACACTTTTTTTCTTACCTGGAAAGTGGTTTTATGTATGACTTGTGTACTAATTTAAAGAAAGAAGTCACAGTGCTAAAAGACTGAGCATTTCCAAATTTGTTATTACTCAGGAGACTACAAATATACTCCCTCCTCCATTTCTTTTTTCTTCTTTTGCAGGAATTCCACCTGCTATTCACTTAATTATGCTTTAGGACAGCATATATGCTGAATTAACCATGGTTAATATTAACTAGGTTTTTTATCAAGATTTGCAATTCTTCTTCAAGACCCATTTAAGAGGGTACCTGGTTAGTATTTATCACAGTTAGTGGCAGTGTCGATTAAACATTAAACCATGATTAAGGCAAGAAAGTTAAATTGAATTTGCATTGGTAATATGTCAGCTTAATAAAAAGAGCACCTCTACCAATCCATTATAGCTAGAAGATTTATTGATTTCCATTAAAGGCAATAATAACCTTTGCTGAGGTCAGAACAGGTTCAGTCTTCTGCATGTCTCTCCTTTAACTCATATATATTTTTAATTACAGTGAAAAAATGGGCCTAGCCAAAACCAAGAATTTCCTTTGTCGTCTTGGACTAGTGGCAAGCAATCAAGATTGTTTCCATGTGCAAGCAGTATGCCAAGCTGTATTCACCCGTTCTGCCAGACTCTGTGCTGCTGGATTGGCTGGCGTTCTTACATGTATTCATGAACATCAGCAGCTGCCAGAGATGAAGACCTGTGTAGTTTTGGGTGGGGACATGTATAGGAGCCAGACACTGTAAGGAGCTGTATTGGACACAGGAACATTTATTTTCATCAAAACCAAAGGCCTACTAGTCCCACTATCTCTTTGTGTGTATGTGTGTGCCTTCGAGTCACATTTTGACTCCTGGTGACTGCCTGGACTAGTCCCTCTTGGCCAATAATTATTGGTATTATTGATTCATTAGCATGTTTTTGTTAACATTCTTCCTGGATTAGGGTACTTGTTCTAAAATGTCTTTCTACTGATGATTTCTCTCTCCTTCAACCTAGTAGCCAATATTAATTTTTCCTTATTATCAGCTTAGTAAGCCTGTCTAATCCTTTCTTTTGCTGTACAGTTTCTTGTGTTGGTATAAGTCGTGTTGTGTGTGTGTGTGTGTGTGTGTGTTAGAGAAATGGACCTATCCAGTTAAATATCTCCAAGCTTCAATTATTTCCTTTGGATACTTGGTCCCCCTAAGCTAAAGAGATTGTTTACACCATCTCAAAATATAATTTTTACCATTTTAAGTGATTTTATATTAAAATTTGGATAATGTAAGCAAGCCTATGTATGCATGTAAGTAGCAAATTTATCTACTCCTTTTTGAGCATGATATTTTTAGAAAGGGGCATAGGTCGAGAGAGTGATTGGACCAATACAATAGGTTACTTCCAGTCTTTGTCCTTCAAAAGCCTTGACATTTCTTCTCCCTCCAGGTATAACGAGATACTACAGCAAACCCTGAAACAGCTGGTTCCTGAGCATACTCTCACATTTATCCCATCAGATGATGGCAGTACCTTAGGGGCTGCCATAGTGACAGCTATAGAAGTGAGGCTTAGAAACCATCGAGAGGGACTGACCCAAGTTCTGGCTCCTTTAAAGCTTTCAGTTGTAGATCTTGAAAGACTACGGAACGCAATCAGACAAGAGATGGAGAACGGCCTGTCAAAGGCAGCTAATAGCTGTCTACGCATGTTGCCCACTTTCGTCTGCCATTTGCCTGATGGCTCTGGTGAGAGAAGGAAGCTGGGGAAGAGCTCTGTATCTAGAGAGGGAAGAATTTTGAACTGTACTTGTGGATTTCACCTCAGGGAAGTCAGGAGAAAATGTTCCATGTGACTTAGATCTTACCTGAGCCTGGTCATTTATTTGACCTGAGACTGTTGCTGTTTATGTTGCTGTCATTGCAAAGGGCACTGTAACCAATACAGAGATCTCCCAATTCATGTAGAATAATAGACTTAAACACTTTCACATGCAGGGCGCACTTTTACCTCAGTCTTGCACTTGAGGACTCAGTTATCATGTCCTACTGCACATATGTGAGGTGGTAGCTATGCTGTTCTAATCCACCAAAGGTTCAGCAGCAAACCACTAGCAGGTCTTAACCCATCAGCTGAAAACCAATGCGCTAGAGGGCAAATGGGATTTGCTAAATGACATGCTTCCTTTGACTCCATTTGTTAAGACTGGCAAGAGATTTGCATCACAGGAGAAAAGGGAAAAGTAGGGTTTACTTAAAGCATCCTAAAGAAGACTGTAAGTTGCAAAGTTCTGTCTCTTCCACTGAGGCTGTTGTTGTCCATATACTTTTTATAGAGCGAGGGGATTTCCTGGCACTGGATTTAGGTGGAACCAATTTCCGAGTATTGATGGTACAGGTGAAAAGCCAAGAGGAGGGTGGTGTGCACATTTCCAGTGAGACTTATACCATTCCACCAGAAATTACCCAGAGTACTGGGAATCAGGTAAGTGCAGGAGAGGGATGATATGGCTTTGGTTAATTAAGCATGAATGGGTTGTGGATTGGCTGAGTCCTGTGGCTGTGATATATGGATACTCTTTTCAGTATTAGGACTAGCATCTTTGCCTATGGAGTAACTTCATCTCCAAATTTATTTCTGCATCATATGTAACTTACCTCTCTTGTATTCCTACAGCTCTTTGACCACATTGTGAACTGTATTGTGGATTTTCATACTAAGCATGGGATGTTGGGACATGTCCTACCAATGGGTTTCACTTTTTCCTTTCCCTGCAATCAAATAAACCTGGATAAGGTATGAAACAGAATGGATGTGATCCTACTATGCAGGTGGTAGAATGTGTAAGTTTAACAGCTGGGGGACAGAATAGGAAAGAAACAAGAATGAACTCATGAAATATGAAAAGAACAGCATTGTGTTTTCTCTTTATTGTTTTTCTGTTTTTTAATTGTAAGCCACCTAGAATTGTTCTAGAGTTGGATAGCCTCTAAATCAACCAATCAAATAGATAAAAAGAATTTTTAAAAAAAGGAGATCATGATGTGGCTTCTAAATTGGGAAATCCAGCTATCCGTTGAGAATGCCACCAGTAATGAGTTCCAGGGAACTTTTCTCTGATCATTCCATTCTTTTCTTTTTGCAGGTGTTGATTTGCTATAATTCTGTAAAAGCACAGAAAAGCTATCCAGTTTTGTATTGGAATGTTTCTCAGCTTTATAGTTGCAAGATAGGAAGATAAGAAGATAAATGCTGTTCAGAATGTTGATTTCCTAAATCAGTCTTACCATATTTCCTGGCTGTTTGCTACTGACTTGCTGCCATTTCTCCCTGACAGCTAGAAAATATCCTAATGCTGGGGTTGGAAACCTTTTAGGGCATATTTGAAATTTTAAGAACATCCTGTGGGCATTTTTACAAAATGGCTGCCAAGGTGGCACAGAACATCAGTTTATCAGAAAGTACCTATTTAGGTTCCTCTCTATCATTCAGCATGGTGTGCACTACCCCAGTTTACCTTTACCCTTTTTAGATCTACACACTTCCAATAAAACCCTGAGTGGCTGCCACCTGCTATTTTTACAGAATGCCAATAGGGCTTGTATGGCAAGCTATCATCCAGTTTTTTTAAACTGAATGAATCTTACACTTCATTCAAGCTCAGGGAAAAGGTTCTGGTAGGCACCCTGCCTGTGAGTACATTTTTAACCATGGACACTATTTTGCCTACCCCAGGTTTAAGGCTTTCATTGAATAGCAGGTTATTTACAAACAGCTTGGAGACAGCAGATCTGCTGAACCATCCCAAGTGGGCAATTTCCCCTTTTTTCTTGGGTTCATAGGGCATCTTGCTGAGATGGACCAAGGGCTTCAGTGCCACTGACTGTGTAGGAGAAGATGTTGTGAATTTGTTGCGGGATGCAGTACAGCGTCAAAAGGTACATATGACAAGCAAAAGCAGTGCAAGAATATAAATAAAACTGATGTGTTTGACATGGGTTGTTCAAGCTCATTCACATTGATCAACACGGCGCTATACATGGAGGGAGTATATACCATATTCCTATGCAAACTATATACTTACTCACACTGATTTTCTTAAAGAAATGCAGCTTCAGGAGGGAGAAATTTAGAGAGGGATTTCTTATTAACTGTCGTATTAGCTCTCTTTGCCAAAAGTTGTCTTTAAATCTCACCTGGCTTTCTTCTCCACCAAGTAGGGGCTTATTGCATGTGGAATGGTCCAGAGGCCAAAAAATTTTTTTTAGGGAATCCAGCCAAAGAGGAGAAGGAGCAAGCAAAGAATTGGCTAAGTATGTCTCTTCAGATTTGGGTTTTCCACTCCCAATTCTTCCTCCCAGTTACTTTTCCCTACAAAAAGCAGTCTTTTCATATTAATTGTTTATGCATCCATATAGTTCTGCACACAGGGTTTTTCCCCAATATAATGACATCTCACATACGTTTAGCAGGCTGTGCATGCATTGATGAAAGAGAATATTAGACTATGCTTTTTCACCATGCTTTTGGAGCTTAAAACACTGTTTCTCTGGCTATTCTAACAAATTTTAATGTTAATTAATATTACCGGGGTTTTTTTTGCTTATTGTGTTTTGGTGTTTTTTAATATTTAATGTGAGGTGCCCAGAATTTATTGAACGTGGTAGGGTACAAGTTGTATAATAAATAAATATTATTGAGCTAGTTCTCCTGAATCTCCTGACTATAGTCTCCTTCTGGACTGCCAGGCAAGACTAGGTCTTGGGAGCACAGCTTAACAATGGTTCAGATCTTTCCGTCAAAGGCCTGTATCTGGAAAGTGGTGTTGGGAGACTACTGTTCAACATCTAGGCCTGTGTCTTATGATGTCCATCTTGCCCCTCCTACTATTTCAATATTTACATAAAATCAGTGGAGATTTATGGAAATTTTGAGAGTTATGTCATCTGTATTTCACGATGTCCAGCCTCACTGTGCCTTAACTTTAAATCAAAGTCTTGAATGTTGCCTAAGTTTGATAATGGACTGGATGAGAGAAAACAAACTAAAATTAAATCCTGGCAAGATGGAGGTGCTATTAGTAAAAAGGAAATTGGATTTGGGGATTGAAGGGCATCCTGTTTTGCACAGGACTGCAATCCCCTGAAGGAACAGATCTGCAATTTGAAACTGCTCCTTGATGTCAGATGTCATTGGATTCTCAGTGAGTCGTTGTGGCAAGGATTACCTTTGCACAGTTTTGTATGTCTAGTTAGTTGGGTTCCTCTCTAAACCAGTTAATTTTGGCAGTGGTTATCCATGCCTTAGTTACACCCCATCTTGACTACTGCAACAGTTCTCATGGGACTACCTTTTAAACATTTCTGGAAGCTGCATTTGAGGCTGCTAACTGGTGCAAGGTATTTGGATCATGACACCTATACTGCAAAATCCACACAACTTGCCAATCACCTATGGGCACAATTTAAGGTATTGATAGTGACCTTTAAAGCTGTAAACTGCTTACAGCCTATCTGAACCTTTATGAACTTGTCTGATTTTAATATTGGGAGGAGAGACCCTCTTGAATATGCTCCTGCTGTCAAAGGACTCTCTTTCTGGCACACGGAAGACACTATTCTCCTGGTTGTTCTATGGAATGCACTCTCTTGGGAGTTACATCTGGTTTCTGTCTCCCTCTCCCCCACAGATTCCCAGTGTGCAGGACATAGGATGCAACCTTTTTTTACCAGGGTTTAATTGTTAGATTATTTTAGTATTTATATTAATTTGTATTTATAGTTTTTTTATATTTTTATTTTTAGATTCTGTTAGTTACCCTGAACACTTGCCAGAACAGAAAAGTAGGATATACACAAACAAATAAATATTTAAGCCAAACCAAGTGGGAGGTTTGAATTGACTTAGTGATTGGTGTCATATAGTTGACTTATCGAGGTCAGTTCAAGACCTGGTAGCTGCATTCACCTACAATGGTGTCTGCAGAGGGGGTCAAAACAGGCAAGATGGCAGATATAGCATTGATATAATTTATCACAATTAGCATTGTGATAAAGCCCCAAACCTTTGCACGTGTGTGATGCTGACAGACATATGCAAGGGGCAGAGCTTGGATTATGTTGCTACAGCCACTATCTTGCCTGTTCTGACCACCACCACCCATCCACAGATGCTGCTGTTCATACAGAATATTAAACTTAGTTTTATCTTGATTAGCTTTTTTGGTGACTTAGTGTATTGAATGAACCCAGACCATCTGGTTAGTTTATAATTCAGTGTATTGTAGGAACTCAAACATAGATAAATTCAATAACCAGATTAAGCATGTTGTGCAAATGCAGTCAGTATATATAATGTGCCATAATTGAAATATGTCAGATGGGAAAGGTCACTGGCCCTATTCTCACAAAATGCTTAACACAATTGGCCACTAATCTGATCAGCACATTACACAAGCTGGTTCAAAAGTCACTATTTTGGGAACAAAATCCTTACTCATATTCTCTAAGAAGTGCTTGGTATCTCATGAACTTTTATACCAGGAAAACAGTGACAAAACTTCATTGTATCACTAATCCCATTGGCCAGGCAGTAGTGGATTTGGCTTGAGCACTACTCTGGACTAGGGTGTCATGGACTAGAAAAGAGTGAAAAGAGTGCTAGTGAGTTTATAAAGGTGAGACTTGTGTTTACAACTACAGTTTACCTCCAATTCTTTTCTTGGAGGACTGACTAGGTAGGATTTTAGAGCTGCTCTACTTTTTACTGAGTTATGCTTGCACAAAATGGGTTTATTGGGCGAGGGTAGTTTAACTTCTCTTCTCTGCCATGGTGCCTGCCTTATGGAACACTCTTCCCCCTGAAATTAGATTAGCTCCATCCTTTTTGACATTCCATAAGTCCCTCAAGACCTGGTTACATCACCAGGCCTGGGGCTCCCAAGGAACTGGAGACATGCTTAAATGGTTCCATTGCAGAAGTGGCTATTCTTATCCTCTCTTTGCCTAGAGTTTGTATATTTTGTTTTTATATTATTTATCTTTTAATATTGATTCTTATATTCTGAGTGTTTTATATATGTGTTGTTTTATCAGATTGCTGTATGCTGCCCAGCATTGCTTTTTGTGAGATGGGCGGCCATATAAATTTGATTAATAAATAATAAAGAAATCCTGGGCCATTTTGGGTTAAAACTTACTCTCACCTCCTGCATTGCTAATTGGGTTATGGCATTTACAGAACATACTACTCTGCTATTGATTCAGTGAATCTCATTTCATAAACAGAAGCATTAATGTCCTTTCACCAAATCAACTGGATAGTAGTGACAGAGCTGAGGAGCTCCCTTTAGGCCGATAGCACAGCACTTCCAATGTTAAAAGTGAAGGAAAAGAGGACCAATTTTCAGTGCGACAACCCTAATGGATCTGTGCTGGTTACTTGGTGACAGGAAATCATGTTGCCTGGTAACACATCTTGCTGTTTTCTGTCTCTCCCACCCTTTCTTTTCCTAGAATATTGATGTAGATGTAGTTGCTCTAGTGAATGACACAGTGGGAACCATGATGTCATGTGCCTATACAGACCCTAAATGTGAGGTTGGTCTTATTGTTGGTAAGTTTGTGGAACAGTATTATTTAGTTATGATTTCACAATTTATAGTCTGTCAGTAAAGTACCATAGGCGCTCTGGAACAGATCAGGAGGAAGAGTCTTTATAGATAGTAAGACTGTATAAATGAATCCATCTTTGAAGTTCAGGATGATATCTTTCCAAGTGCAGATTCTTCCTTCCAGTGTAGTATCTCTTGGTATGTTGAGCTAAGTGTCTTGTTACTCCAAGGCACTGCTCCTTAACATATAAGCCTATATTCCTAATGCATTTAAAATGCAAAGATAATTGGGCAGACTTTTTAAAATGTACTCTTGGCCCGCATTATTTTCTTGGTCAGAATGAAGGAAAGTATAATAGACCATTTTGAGCAATGATTCATTTCCATTCCTTATTTTATCTCAAGGAACTGGATGCAATGCTTGCTACATGGAAGAACTGAGGAACGTGAGCATTATAGAGGGTAATGAGGGCAGAATGTGCATCAATATGGAATGGGGGGCATTTGGAGATGACGGTTGTCTTGACCACTACATAACACCTTATGATGACAAAGTGGATAAAGAATCCCTCAATCCTAGCCAACAAAGGTGAGGCTGTGTAGTTTTTATTGGAGATTGGCGGGGTATGTGGTGATGGCTGCCTATAAGTTCTCCTAGTATGACACCAATTTCCATTTCCCACAGATATGAGAAGCTCATTAGTGGCATGTATTTGGGTGAGATAGTGCGCTATGTTCTGTTGGATTTAGCATATCGCAAGATTCTCTTCAAGGGTGATAAGTTACAAGTACTTCAGAACAAAGGCATCTTTCCCACTAAATTGTTATCAGACATTGAGAAGTAAGTATTTATCGAATCTTGCCATCAGATGTAGAATCTAAGTTTTAGTGCAGACCAAATCCCTAAAGTTGTCAGGTTTAGGTTTTACTATTCCATCTATGCATCTTTCAACCTGGAGTCAACTTATTTGGCCTTCTCATGTCTACCCTGGTCTCTCCTTTTAATTAACACTATATCTGCCCTAGATTCTAAATTCTGTGCGAAGTCAGTCAAAACAAGATTTAGAAAATAGGCAAGTTTGTATATGATTATAGAGTGATCATAGATGCATTATACATTATTTATTTGGAACTCTGGATTTTTCTATTTAGAATGTGCCAACTATTACTGATCACAGCTGATCATACAAACCTGCTAGGGAATAATTTCTTCAGAATAAGTACGTCTAAAAGGAGGCCCAGTTGAATAGAACAGATTGACAGAATCCCCATATTTCCACTTATCGTAAGGCCAGTAAAGAACAAATCTCTATCTCTAATTCTAATATTATTAAGTAACAGCCAAGGCCGCGAACATGTTTATAACATCCTGGAAGAGTTGGGGTTGACTGTTTCTCCTGAGGACGCCATGGTGGTGAAGGAAGTGTGTCATACCGTGACTTCACGAGCTGCTATGGTGTGTGCAGCTGGACTGGCAGCTGTTGTAGAAAAGATTCGAGAAAATAAGCGCATGACAAAGCTGGAGGTGACAATTGGCGTGGACGGGACAGTGTATAAGATGAACCCTTAGTGAGTTATTTTTCTGCATCAGATTTGGGGCAACATTATATATAAATGTAATCTTTGGGATATTTGGCGTTTGCAGTGTCAGCTAGCTTTATTTTGTGGAAGAAAAAAAGGAGTAAACACCAAGAGCCTATATTTCTAGGCAGCGTATATCTCAGGTGCTATGTTGCTGGCCTGGGGTTTGTGTGATTCTGGGCTAGATGTTGGTTCCTTTTGCCCATAGATATTATCTCTTTCTATCTACAGCTTTGCAAAAAAACTTCAGGATACAGTAGCTCTGCTGGCTCCAAATTGCAATGTCAAATTCCTATTGTCAGAGGATGGCTCAGGAAAGGGAGCTGCACTGATTGCTGCTGTGGCCTGCCGTACAAAGATCTCTTAATAAGCGGGAGACTGGATCGTTCTCTACCAGATGCAGACCTTGATCTGCAGTATGGACTTTCATTCTTCTCTGAGGCAGCTGTGACAAAATTGCTGGAAAGCCAAATTTGGATAGCTGTGGTATTCCATCTTTGCAGTTTTGTTTAACATCTCTGATTCATGCTCAAAGCAGGGAGGGAAATAAACCAAACTCCTCTGCCTCTTGGATTCTTGAGCTATCTTTCTTCCAAAGAGCTTAATCCCGTTAGCTATGGTTGAGGAGGCTAATATGAAAGTAATTTCATAACCTCATCATTTCCACATCCTTAAGGTGCTTAGGAGAACAGCTGAATACTTCAAGCTACAAACTCTGACTGGCTGTTTTAGAAGTCATGCTTCTATCAATGTAATATGAACATAGATACAAGAAGCCTCATGTAGCAATATATATATATATAATTTATTTACATTCATGCCCGCTAAAACCCTGTGCGAGACGCTGATATGTACATAAGGCCAAGTGTAAATACTTGAATGCACTTGAATACAGAATAAAAAACAATCTTTACACAATACGGCATGGACCTGCTTGGTCCAGCACACGTTCACTGCACAGATCAGACTGCCACGCACACGCACAAATCCCTTGCATATACACTGGGCAAGGACTAAGGAGGCACAGATACAGTCACCAGGACAGCAAGGCCCTCATCCTTTGGCTGACCTTCTGTTTCTTCCTTGTCCCATGGGTCTCCAGGTGTCTGCAAGCCACCAACTCTTGGACTGCCCTCTCTGACTGTCACATACCTCTCGGGCTAGAGCAAACATTTATAGAGATGGCTCTGGAACTATCCTGAGCTACCCTCTTTTTTCCTTTATTTATGGCAAGGGGCTTCCTAGGGGATGCAGTGGGAAGGACACAGATGACTCAGCTTCAAAGCAAAGCTTACCTGTTCATCCTGGTCACTCACAATGGATTCTGGGCTAACCATTTCCTTTCTTTCTGCTTCCCATGCTAGAGTAGAAGAAAGCTCTAGAACAATTGTCCAAGCTAGATGTCAGCAGATCAGACTTGCTTGCCAGCCTGCTTGGTAGAAAAACAGACCTATCCCAACCAGTACCAGCGCTGCCTCGGAAACAGCAAAGTAGGGATTTGGTAGCCTTTTCCATGGCTTCTGGAGACTGAACCCAGTGTGCTTGCCTTCTGGCTGAATTTGGCACAAGGATTAGAAGGTACGAGGCCAGTATGCCGCAGATAGGGCACACAGGCATATTCAAAGCAGGACAGGTACAGATGCTATGACCCTTCAAATGGAGGTGCCCCTCACCATCTTCAAACCGAGGCCTGCGTTGTCCCTGTCTAGTGCCTTAGCACTCAGCTTCTGAAACCATGAAAAGAGAGCTGTCCTGCTTGCCCACTTCGGCCACAGCAGCAGCCAGCTGGTTGAGGTTTCCATTGGGGAAGTGACGTGCTTCCCATAAGTTCAAGATCATGGCTGTTGGGCTTGGTTTTGAAGCAAAGAAGCTGAGATGGCTGTGGAAAGAGGGAAAGTAATCATAATATAAATTAAATTCGCCAGTACCTCTGCCACTTCTGCAAACCTCCTCTACTCTGTATCAGAACTGCATAGCCCACAATCCCACCCAAATCATGCATTTCTGTATCAGCAAGTTCCACCTTCTATGCTTAGTACACTTTTAAACAAAGAATCCTTATACCTGTCAAGGTGCAGCTTCTGGGCTAATGCTCTCCAGTCAGCCCCACGGGCCCCTGGGGCATCCAGACTACTTATGATCTTCTGGCGGATAAGAAAAGGGATCTTGAAGGCACTGGGGCCCACCAGGGCAGGGGAGCCAGCCTCATTGTCTGGGGGTAGCCAGTCCGAGAACCGGGCATCCTGAGAAGAAGACAACAATTATTAGATCCAACAAATAAAATCTTTGTAGTAAGGATTCTGGGCTGAGAGAAAGAGCTAAAAGCATATGATAACAAGGCTGTTTATTTTACTTGGTCGGATGCAGGTTTTAAGAAGAAGGAAGGCCCCTTACTATAATGTGGTTTCTTTCCAAATATTCTCTAATTTGACAACTCAGTTTGGTCTGTCAAAAAAAAAAATGGAGCCTAACTATTCAACCACTCCTCTAGCCTTTGAAATTTCAGCAAGCATTGGCTATGTGCTTTCAAGCATTTTTCTATATAACTGTAGGTTATTAGAAACCTCTTTAAATGAAAGATATAAGGTACCCAGCTTTGTAAGCCAGAGTTTATGAAGCTAGGAAGGAACATTGGAGCCATATGGCCCTTCCTTTCATTTCTACTTATTTGCTGGCTTTAATGCAGAGATCCGATTTGACCAAACCAAGTTCATTATTGTATCTGGCATGGGACTTACTGATTTAGAGTTAATTTACTATGTAGGCTATTAAGACAAGATCAGAATATGACTAAAATTCTGTATTATAAATCAACATTAAATTGATATTTCCCATTTCTGACAGAATATAACAGTGGGTATGGGTTTTGGGCTCCCCTTATCCAGGAACTGGAAATTTTCCATCCTTGGATTTGGATGGGATAGCACTTTCTCACTCAGACCCAGTGTGCAATTTGGGGGGCCGTTTGGACTCCTAGCTCCTGCTCAAAGAGCAATTGGCAGCCATGGTCAGGTCCTTTGCACAACTCCATCTAATGTGTTAACTGCACCTGTTCCTGGACCAGGAGGTGGTGCTTGTGGTCACTCATGCCTTAGTCACCTCTTGACTGGACTAATGTTCTCTACATGGGGCTGCCCTTGAAGACCATCTGGAAGCTGCAGGTAGTCCAGAATGCAGCGGCGCAGGTAGTTATAAGTGCACCTTGGTACACCCATGCAACACCGCTGCTTCGTGAGCTGCACTAGCTCCCAGTAGATTTCTAGGTGCAATTCAAGGTGCTGGTTGTCACCTACAAAGCCCTATAAAGTGCGGGACAGCCTGTTTCTGGTTATTTCTTTCCACCCCTACGCTGCAACAAGTGGAATGCTCCATGTCCTTTCCTTGAAACACTGTAATCTGTGCACCAATTGTGTGTTTTGTTGTGATTTGGGTTATTTTCATGGGTTTCATTATATATATTTTTTATTGCTGTACTGCCAGGTAGTTATAAGTGCACCTTGGTATACCCATGCAACTGCCAGAGCTGGGAGGCCATATAAATCCTATAAACTAACAACCAAACTCCAGTTAAAAGAAATCAGGACGTCTACTGCAGCTAGCATGAGGAGAAATGGGATATGATATGGGTGAGAATGCAGGGCTAACAGTCATCCTGGCTCATGAATTGTAGCTTAGGAAGTCAGGAGCATTTTGCCAGAACAGGTCTGTACTTTGTTCTTTTGTACTGTGTCTTGGACACAGATGGCTACAGCTAACATACAGCCTTGACATTGGCTTTTAGAATGGAAAAATAGCAGGTGTAAGGATTTTAAGACAAAATCCTGTGACACAAATCTGCCCTGATGTCTACTCGCAAGTATCTTCAGTAGGAACACTATGAGATCATACCCAATACCCTAGCAGTAAATCCACCTAAGGAACTTGAAAGCTACTCAAAAGACAGATAACAGGTATCCACTCAGCCAAATACCTGCTGAGCTCCAGTGTATGCTTAACAGGGCCCATCCTGTCTAATCCCTCCCTCTGCCAGCACAGGAGACCCAGCCAAGAAGCTAACAGAAGTTGTCACAGTTAGCCTCCCTTCACTTTATTCTTGCCCTTACCTTGGCAATGTTGAAGTCAATATTGAAGCTTTGCCCATCACCCTCCACCTGCCAAATCCAAATTTTGCATGCCAATTGGCATGTGTTCGTGCTGAGTCGCTCCAGTGTGAAGGTACAGTGTAGGTAGGGCTGCAGCCCACTCCAAAGATGGTAGAAGGGAATCTCCTACAAGAAGAAAGGCCAGACACAAATCACAAGATGATGCTTTTCTAAAGAATTGTGGAAAAGAAGGCTTCTTGGCTGAAGTTACAAGCAAGTGCCAACAGCTTCAGGCAAAACCAAGTACAGGTTGGTACCAAGTAGCAGAGACATAACTGCTATCTGTTCCCAAAGAAGGAATTGCCTAATAACAGGGCTGTTCAGCAATGCAGATTCAAAGGGGAAAAGGTGATTTGGAACATACAGTATGTATGCACTCAAATTGCACTTTTCAACCATTCCTTGAAGAAGCTGTGTCTACTCCAGGAAACAACACGGTTGATTTAAGGAGGCAGTAACAAGTGTGATGTGTGCTGCCCATATACTCCAAATCACTTTTCACCTTCTGATTCCAAACCACTGCATAACCAGAACAGTCAGATTTCTTGGCTTGAGAAGGTGGTATTCCTGGGCCAAAGATAGGTTGGTGGGGATGGTGGTTACAACTCTTTTGTAAAGAATATGGACATAAAAGGGTAACAGTAGCTCTAGCAATTTAAAAGAATCAGAGTATTGTCTTGTCCTAGATAAAAATAACCCCAAGATTAGTAGAAATGCTTGCCTGGTAGCTGACAAGGAGCTTACTCTTCCACAGTGAGCTGGGCACATCATGGATGGAGAGACGCAGATTGTGATAACTGTCCTTGAAGTGCAAGATTCGTGGTGCACCAATCAGCTGTCCACCCAT